TCATACTGTTGTATTAGATGAATTGGATTACATTATATAAGAAACGACCATTCACAGTAACAAATATTTTGCTATGCAGAATGCCACTCACAATCAGTTGAACGGGAACAACTATATACGATTTTGGTTTTGAGATGCGGAATGTGAATTCGTCCGTAGTTTAGGGTATCGGGTACATTTCTGTATTTAGAAACATATCTGGGGTACATTTCTGTATTTAGAAACATACCTGGGATACATTTCTGTATTTAGAAACATACCTGGGTACATTTCTGTATTTATAAACATACCTGGGATACATTTCTGTATTTAGAAACATACCTGGGTACATTTCTGTAATACCTGTGCTGACAATGACCCCTTCAGCATTACTGAGCTCCGATGATCCATCTGCATATTGTGAGCGATATCAGCACTACCAAAATCTGAATTGTGAAAACAAGTGATCAAATCACCTTGGGAATTCTCCCCTCATCAGCAGAGGCAATCCATGTAAATAAACAACACAACATCTATAATTCATATTACTTTATTGTGAACTTTAAGTGTTTTCACTGGCAAAAATTGTACATTGCAAGGGCAGGTAATCATTATAGCTAAAAGTTTGCATACCACTAAACCAAGATAACAGCAAGACTGTACATGCAGCATCTTGAGACACTGCTTAGTGTAGTGTCATACAGACGTCATACAGCCGTCACACAGACGTCATACAGCCGTCACACAGACGTCACACAGCCGTCATACCCTAGCTAAGACTAAATGGATCAAAACATCTAAAGCACTTCTAAAATAGAATAAATTAATACATATCACAGCTGATTGGGGAAAGACAGATATTATTATACAATATACTTTAATTACAGACAACTGGAAACAGGCACTTAAACAAAAAACAGAGTTAAATGTAATAACTGAAAATCATCTCTTATACTTGAGAAAATATGTGTTAAGGAAGTGGAGATATCTTAAGGGATCATCTTGTTAATCTCAACCCTCAATCCTAAGATATCTTAATATTAGCCCTACTTCCTAAGATATCCAAATGTTGATCTTGTTCATCTCAACTCTCAATCCTAAGATATCTGAATATTAGCCCTACTTTCTAAGATATCCAAATGTTGATCATGTAAATTCAACTCTCAATCCTAAGATATCTTAATATTAGCCCAAGCTTCTAAGATATGTAAATGTTTACCTTGTTCATCTCAGATCAGATTGACGAGATACCTTAAGATTTGTAATATAAAATATGAACTGAAGCTGCAAAGATATCTATATTTTAATCTTGTTAATCTCAGACCAGATACTGTAAGACTAGCCCAGCCTGGGAATATATATCAGTGTGAACCCTGGCTTCTAAGGTATCTTATTATCAAGTTTGTTAATCACCCATTGTACCCATGTAGGGAATCGAACCCGGGTCTTTGGCGTGATGAGCGAACACTTCAACCACTAGGCTACGCCACTGCCCCTCGTACCAACAGGTCACAAGGTCACATGGCAATAGTTGAATTTTTTAAATAAAAAGGTGATTCATGACAAAGAAAAACAGCTGTCATTTTGATGGGTGCACATTTCTGTCTGAGAAATATTATATTGTAATCAGTGTGCAAAAAAACTGGCAGTGTTCAAAACTTTTTTAACAGAAATTCATGAAAGAAATTTACACAGTCTACAGTTAGCTTACAAATAGATTTGAAAATCCTCTTTCAAAACGTTAGTTTCAGGGAAGGTTGATTTGAGTCTGCAAAGCATATTTGGTGCAATTTCATTGTAGATACATTTCCTGTAGAAAGGTCATAAACAAATGATAATATTTCAGAATCCAAATGCCTCTTCAATAGTATTCTTAACAATCTGTCACTTAATAAATGACCAATGATTATGACAAATTTAAACAGGAATCAGTTCCTTGAAATTAATACTCAACAACTGAGTGGAGGAATCGGTCAATGTCACCAGATTCTTACACCTGACTTAACAAATATGTTACCAAGGTAACCAAGTGAAAAAAACGTGACTTTCTTAATTAAAATGTCCAACAACCACAAAGTCAATTTAGATTTCACAGACCGTTCGTTACAACAATCACAATTATACTCCCAATAGCAGAAACAAAATTAATTCTTGTGAATAACAATTTCAGATATGAGGCCAGACCAACTTAATGAATTATTTGCAGATAGTCTAGGTATTGTCCAACTAGATGATCTTAGCGCTAAGGCAATCTAACCAGCTACCAAAATGCTTCCACTGATGCCCTGCCTTAGCGCTAAGTTCCCTAGGACAAAGGCCTAATTTTACCTAATATTCTGTGATGGAACGTGATTTTGTTGATTTTTTTCCCCCAAGATTTACAGTTTTATTCATTGTCTGATTGTTTTCCCACACTCTAGCCTTAAAGTCTTCAAAGGTGAAATGATTGTGGGTTTAAAAAAAAATAAAAATCCCAAAAGTGGTTAAACATAATGTGAACATTATATCTCATTTATCGCACTGCACCATGGCTTAAACGGCCATGTTTTCCCTTCAACCTTTTTGTTTTGGATTAAAAAGGTGAAAAACAAGTAATTAAGTTGGTCTAGCCAAATCAACTGTGAGTGAGTTGGTTTTTACCCTTTTATAGCAATATTCCAGCAATATCACAGCGGGGGACACCATAAATGGGCTTCACACATTTTTCCCATGTGGGGAATCGAACCTGGTACTTCGGCGTGATGAGCGACTGCTTTAACCACTAGGCTACCCCACCTCCCCGAGTGTGATGTTAAGTGTCCTTTATAACCAAGTTGACTGAATTCAACCATAACAAAATAGATATCAGAACTACATAACAGTGGTAACCAAATATCCAGTCTCAAGTAACGAAAATACCTTTTTGGAAAAGATAATAGACAAAAGAAATGGCACTTGTCTTCAGAGTAATGTGCTCATCCTCAATAATCTCCAGGTTATACGTTCCGATAAATATCCATTATACCCTGGATGCATCTACGGCTCGGCTCGATAATTGTATTACTCCCTTTGCTGGCTCCGCCTTCTCACAGCAGCCAATCAGATAAGCCGTTACAACTAAGCTTGCCAGTGTCGACAAAGATCGCAGCTGCAGCTGCGAAGGTTTGCTCGTTGTCCGACTCAGATTCAGGGAAAAAATCATGTAGACAAATTGACAAGTTGAAACCTCAAAAAAATATATGCTAGAACTCCTTCTACCTCTTTCAGGGTATCTCTGCAACAATTTGAGTTGCCAAGTTTAATCAGTTAGATAAAAGAAGTGAAAGTGACTTATGATTAGAAGCCTTGTGATTGGTACGCTCAACTTCCCAGCGTAATTCCTGATTGGATAAAAAGCCAGCAAAGGGAAGTAACACAATTATCTGGCCAAGCCGTAGTTGCATCCTGGGTACTAGTGGAGATTTATCGGAAAATATACCCCGGAGGTTATCAAGGATGTGTTGTGCTCTAAGTGCCTTCAAAATATACAGCATTATGTGACATGTAATTTTCAACCATGATAATCACAATAAGTTTCTGTGATCTGATGATGATCAGGCTCAGGATGCCTTTCTTTAAACATATATAGTCTTCTACACATACCACTCATACAAAGAGTGGCGGCTGAGTGGGTTAGATGGCTGACTTTGTGTGCTGGCAATTAGGTGCCTGACTCTGAGAATCTGCACTTTACTGAGTGCCATGTTACACTCAAAACAAGTTAAGAACACATGATTCTTTCATATTACAGTAAACTACTCTCAAACTCAAAGTACACCACAAACTCAGGCACCACACTACAGTTTGTTAGACACATTTCTATTAAAATATATGCCATTCGTCTGTGCCTCCAAAGTCAGTTTGTTATATCTGTCAGTGAGTGAGTTTAGTTTTATGCTGCTTTTACAGGGGCGGATACAGCTTTTGAGAAGGAAGGAGAGGAGGAGAGAAGAGTGCCCCCTCTGGATCCCTATGCTTTAGCAATATTCCAGCAATATCACAGTGGGGTACACCAGAAATGGGCTTCACACATTGTACCCATGTGGGGAATCGAAAGCGGGTCTTCCGCATGTTGAGCAAACACTTTAACCACTAGGCTACCCCACCGCCCCTGTATCTGTCAGTTCATTATTAGCATGGTATAAACATAGTTTCCTGTACTGTAGCCTATCCGTCAAACAGATTTACAAAAGTGTACCTGTGTATACTACCTGTACAAACCTGTATATACATTACATATACCACACTAGGGGCTTCTCATTTCCAAGGGAGACAACTCTGTGAGGGTTACCTCCCTTTGGCCATATTATCTTTGCACAGATTGAGAGGTAGGTTTGTCCAGAATTCTAACAGTTTGGTAACAGCCTTACAAAAGTGCCTTACGAAAAATGTCATTCACCAGTTTCATTGCAATAACCAACAGATCGACCAAGCAGAAACCGACAGCAAATATTTGTGGAAATATATCAGTCTAATATTCAGTGGACTACCAACTAGCCATTTTCCTTTCTATTTGTAACCATCACACCACAAGTTACGGTAAGTGAATATTTATTAATTACAACATGATTCTACAGTGGAACATCATGTTGAAATCTGATGAGTCGAACTCTGGTTATCTTGAAGGAAAAGCTAGTTCCCCTACAAATTCCTTTATTCCAAGTACCATATCTCGCTTAAACAAATGTGAAGATACTTAAATTCATGAATTTATGTACCGTTACCAGGCGGTAATCAGTTTGTGAATGTTGAATGGGGTAAAATAAGCAAGCCAGGTTGTTGCTACAACAAATATGATATTTAGAGAAACAAATGTATTATGCACTTTCTGTCAACTACACTTCGTTTCGATCCGTGAGTAGACACAATATATATGATTGTGAATTCTTTGAATAATGTGGACCAAAGTTATAATTATTGGTAACTGCCAGTTGTCTGTTGTCTGTGTTTGCCGCGATTAGGACCCCATCGCGGGGGATCGACTTATGCATGAAACATACCATTTTGACACTGATTTTAAGGATCAAGTTTGGGGGTCGTCTTATCCATGGTATACGGTAAATATGTTTTGTATCTTTCTGATGTGTCAGTAGCTCTGTTGATGTAACACAAAGTCCTGAAAAGACAAGTATTATTCTATTTTATTCCTTATTTAATCATCTAAACTTTCAGTTGTGCAGAACCTTGGATAGGTATTTCCGTATGTCCCTTCAACTTCAACAATGTTTGACTGTATAAGGTACAAAGCATATATTGGGGCAAATAACTGGGCTGAGTTACTGATGATGTTTTGTTAAAACTAATTGTAAATTATGTATTGATGGAGGAATTGGTCAGGAATGCCAAAATAATGGTGCCAGAAGTGAAAAGATCGGGACTCTACCGAGGGACTGAATCAAAGCACCTGGATTAAATCTCTGTGAGGTTGAACACTGTCTGCACAAGTTAACTACGTCCAGCCGCCAAGCATGACAGACATAAGCTAAACACACAGGCCATGTACAGGGACAAGCCATGTAGAGACAAGCCATGTACAGGGACAAGCCTTGTAGAGACAAGCCATGTACAGGGACAAGCCATGTAGAGACAAGCCATGTACAGGGACAAGCCATGTAGAGACAAGCCATGTACAGAGACAAGCCATGTACAGGGACAAGCCATGTAGAGACAAGCCATGTACAGGGACAAGCCATGTAGAGACAAGCCATGTACAGAGACAAGCCATGTAGAGACAAGCCATGTAGAGACAAGCCATGTAGAGACAAGCCATGTACAGGGACAAGCCATCTAGAGACAAGCCATGTACAGGGACAAGCCATGTAGAGACAAGCCATGTACAGGGACAAGCCATGTAGAGACAAGCCATGTACAGGGACAAGCCATGTAGAGACAAGCCATGTACAGGGACAAGCCATGTAGAGACAAGCCATGTACAGGGACAAGCCATGTACAAGGACAAGCCATGTAGAGACAAGCCATGTACAGGGACAATCCATGTAGAGACAAGCCATGTACAGAGACAAGCCATGTAGAGACAAGCCATGTACAGGGACAAGCCATGTAGAGACAAGCCATGTACAGGAACAAGCCATGTACAGACAGGCCATGTACAGGGACAAGCCATGTAGAGACAAGCCATGTAGAGGCAAGCCATGTACAGGGACAAGCCATGTAGAGATAAGCCATGTACAGGGACAAGCAATGTAGAGACAAGCCATGTACAGGAACAAGCCATGTACAGGGACAAGCCATGTACAGGAACAAGCCATGCAGGGACAAGCCATGTACAGGGACAAGCCATGTAGAGACAAGCCATGTACAGGAACAAGCCAGCCACAATGACAGGCCATAGACAGAAACAAGCCGCGAACAGGGATGTGACTCGTTTCACATACAAGCCATGTACAGGAAAATGCCACGTAGAGACAAGCCGTGTACAGGCCACATGCTGAGATAAGTCATGCACACATCTGCACTCGTCTACCTCCAGTGTAGGTAACTCACTATCTACACTATAGTATACTAGCAAACCAGCATCTCGGCCGGGATATACGCTTTAATAACACCCTAGTTAGAACACAATTCTGTATGTTTCATCACTTCATCACCACATACAGCACGCTCCAGTATCACTGCTGCACTTGTCATCACTTCATCACTATAAACTTGACTACACTTGACTACAATCTGTTGTATGGTATACATCACTTATATACAATCCATTGACAAATAAATCTCTCTTCACTACATTGTGTAGACTAGATCTACATCTTTCATCACTTGATTAAGATCTGTAGAATCTTTCATCACTCATCACTACAATCATTGGATCTGTACATATTTTCAGTGCTTCACTGCAACCAGTCGACTCTAGCATTGCTATTGAAAACATGTTCACAACATTAGGTCATCACTAACAACACAGGTCATCATTACATTTATTCAGCCTTGACAACTGAGGTCATTCATTCAGCCTTGACAACTGAGGTCATTCATTCAGCCTTGACAACTGAGGTCATTCATTCAGCCTTAATAACTGAGGTCATTCATCCAGCCTTGACAACTGAGGTCATTCATTCAGCCTTGACAACTGAGGTCATTCATTCAGCCTTGACAACTGAGGTCATTCATTCAGCCTTGACAACTGAGGTCATTCATTCAGCCTGTCAGCCTTGACAACTGAGGTCATTCATTCAGCCTTGACAACTGAGGTCATTCATTCAGCCTTGACAACTGAGGTCATTCATCCAGCCTTGACAACTGAGGTCATTCATTCAGCCTTGACAACTGAGGTCATTCATTCAGCCTGTCAGCCTTGACAACTGAGGTCATTCATTCAGCCTTGACAACTGAGGGCATTCATTCAGCCTTGACAACTGAGGTCATTCATCCAGCCTTGACAACTGAGGTCATTCATTCAGCCTTGACAACTGAGGTCATTCATTCAGCCTTGACAACTGAGGTCATTCATCCAGCCTTGACAACTGAGGTCATTCATTTAGCCTTGACAACTGAGGTCATTCATTCAACCTTGACAACTGAGGTCATTCATTCAGCCTGTCAGCCTTGACAACTGAGGTCATTCATCCAGCCTTGACAACTGAGGTCATTCATCCAGCCTTGACAACTGAGGTCATTCATTCAGCCTTGACAACTGAGGTTATTCATTCAGCCTTGAAAAGTAAGGTCATCCATTCAGCCTTGACAACTGAGGTCATCCATTCAGCCTTGTCAAGTAAGGTCATCCATTCAGCCTTGACAACTGAGGTCATCCATTCAGCCTTGACAAGTAAGGTAATTCATTCAGCCTTGACAACACAGGTCATTAGTCATTCCAAATATCAGTAAGACATGCAAGCATCACTATGTAAAGGGAATGTGTGTACTATAACCCCACAACACCTTCATCATCATCATCATCAGAAGAGACATCCTGCATCAACACATCCACAGCCTACTAACAGCCTACTACCAGCCTACTACAACACCTGTGCAGCTATCTCCTGATTGTCAGTCATTACAACATGACATAGAAACATTCAGACAATTATCACAGCGAAACAACTTCATGTTTCTATCATTCATTGATGAAATCAAGCAGAAGAAAATAACCATGACCTCTACTTTTTGAAGTCTTAAAATAACTTAACAACTGAATTCAATAAACAAACTGTTTATGCGCTAAACAGAGGATTTGAACAATTTATACATTATAGATTACAATAAATTATTTTGTTGTGTATTTGTGACATCACTCAGTATCCAAGGCTAAACAAGTGGTGAGCATCCCTAGGTGCTGCTATGTCCATAGAAAGAGTAACAAATTCAATATTTCAGGAAGGATCTTGCATTTCTTATAAATACTGCAACTGCTTAGTCAAGTCAACATGTTGAGGACGTGTTGTTTGACGGACTGATCTTGTGTTGTCTATTTGGCAGGCATGGAACAGTATTCTTGGCATCCAAGAGAATTCTTAATGAGGATATGATTGGAACAACAGCAGAGTGCACCTTTGGAAAAAATCTCTTTGGGAAAAGGACAATATTTCTAAGTTACCCTGGCGGTGAACACACCACAGAACATTGCTACCTAAATCTGGACGTCCCCATAATGCCACATCATCATCATCATCATCATCATCATCATCATCATCATCATCATCATCATCATCATCATTGACAGGAGGGTGTCAGTCACAAACAGACTCCTTCTAGTTAACAAAACCATCGTCTACAGTCTCAAACAGACTCCTGCTAGTTAACAAAACCATCCTCTACAGCAATGACTCAAACACAGACTCCAGCTAGTTAACAATTAATACCCTAACGACTGCCTGGGTCACCTCTTGGGGGAAAACTTGGGATTTCTGGGCCCCTCATTGAATGATCGGAGCTCGTATTGGGCTACTTTGTTGTCGAACTCAAACTTGTCGCGGGCAAAGATGAGTCGGATGTCGGTGTGGAGGTGGATCTTTCCGGTCTTGGTGCTAGCAAACCTGGAAGGCAAATAGTTAAATATGTAGAAGAACACAGGCTATTTTAGTCAAATGTAGAGGAACAGAGGTCCCTATAGTCTGATGGAGCATAACAGAGGTCACTTGAGGCTGATGGAGAGGAAGAGAGGTCCTTATATTCTGATGGAGTGAGTGAGTGAGTATGGTTTTACGCCGCTTTTAGCAATATTCCAGCAACATCACGGAGGTTAGGCTGATGGAAGGGAACAGAGGTCATTTTAGGCTGATGGAAGGGAACAGAGGTCACTTTAGGCTGATGGAAGGGAACAGAGGTCACCTTAGTCTGATGGAGGGGAACAGAGGTCACTTTAGTTTGATGGAGGGGAACAGAGGTCATTTTAGGCTGATGGAGGGGAACAGAGGTCACTTCAGTCTGATGTAGGGGAACAGAGGTCACTTTAGTCTGATGGAGGGGAACAGAGGTCACTTTAGTCTGATGGAGGGGAACAGAGGTCACTTTAGGCTGATGGAGGGGAACAGAGGTCACTTTAGGCTGATGGAAGGGAACAGAGGTCACCTTAGTCTGATGGAGGGGAACAGAGGTCACTTTAGTTTGATGGAGGGGAACAGAGGTCATTTTAGGCTGATGGAGGGGAACAGAGGCCACTTCAGTCTGATGGAGGGGAACAGAGGTCACTTTAGTCTGATGGAGGGGAACAGAGGTCACTTTAGGCTGATGGAGGGGAACAGAGGTCACTTTAGGCTGATGGAGGGGAACAGAGGTCACTTTAGTCTGATGGAGGGGAACAGAGGTCACTTTAGTCTGATGGAGGGGAACAGAGGTCACTTTAGTCTGATGGAGGGGAACAGAGGTCACATCAGTCTGATGGAGGGCAACAGAGGTCACTTTAGTCTGATGGAGGGGAACAGAGGTCACTTCAGTCTGATGGAAGGGAACAGAGGTCACTTCAGTCTGATGTAGGGGAACAGAGGTCACTTTAGGCTGATGGAGGGGAACAGAGGTCACTTTAGGCTGATGGAGGGGAACAGAGGTCACTTCAGTCTGATGGAGGGGAACAGATGTCACTTCAGTCTGATGTAGGAAAACATTTGTTCCTCTTTGACAGTGTTATTTATCCTGACATTTTACACTGATGCTTGGTATTGTAGGTAGAACTCACCTTAGATGTATGAGGTATCTCAGGTAGGCAGGTTCTTCACTATCAGGGTCTACAGGCATGTAAAGTGTGCGTTGCCGTAGAAACGTGCGACAGTTTGCTGGCATGTCCCGCAGGTCGTACATGACCACGAACATCTTGACCACCGTCTTGTTGGGGTTGAAGAGAGTCTGGACACAAAAGTAATGCATTTACTCGTCAGACAATCGGACAGGGCATTTACTGTCTTAGACATCCTTGAGGAGGGATTTATGGGACGCCAATTTCTGCGTCCTATACGCATAGAAATTTACAAAAGACGCAACAAAATTGAGTAGGGACACAGAAAAGGTCCAAATACTTTTTGTAAAAATTTCAATAAGTTATCACTGAATTTGATACTAGCCGGGTATCATTTGCAATTTAATTACTGTAACAATGTGATGATCATGATACACAATACAATAACAGTAACTGAAGTACAACAATATTACAATATAGTATTAATAATAATATTTAAGTGCCAGGACCCCTGGAAATTAAGAGTATGAGTCCCAGGGACCCTCAAATATAGGACTCAAGGTAAATCCCTGCTTGAGGTAATTCTGGCCAAACTGTTTTTTAGAACTTTGTCAAATACATGTAATATAATACACGTTTCTCTCTGGTATGAAACCAATGAAAATCTGGGTATGAAATCTGTCTTCGGAAAGCCATGCTTGTCATAAGAGAGCAATTATTTACAGAATGAGTGAGTGAGTGAGTTTTGGCTTACGCCGCACTCAGCAATATTCCAGCTATATGGTGGCAGTCTGTAAATCATCGAGTCTGAACCAGACAATCCAGTGATCAACAGCATGAGCATCAATCTGCACAATTGGGAACCGATGACATGTGTCAACCACGTCAGCGAGCCTGACCACCCGATCCTGTTAGTCGCCTCTTATGACAAGCATGGGTTACTGAAGATCAATATTCTAACCCCGACCTTCACTGGTCTATTTACAGAATGTCATCCCATAGCTGGAATATTGCTGAGTGCGACGGTGAACAAAACAAATGCTCTGGAATGCAGAACTGTACAACTGAAGCTACAGTGATTAATGAAGGTAGTACTGACAAGAGTGAGTGAGTGAGTTTTACGCCACTCTCAGCAATATTCAAGCAATGTCATGGCTAGGACTTAAACGGTACACTCTTACCATGGTACAAAGCCTTAGGTTCGGTCCGTTTCGGTTCCGTATATATATGAGATATAATCATAACGCAGAAAAATGAAAAATGAGCTAAACCTTACCGAAATGCATATATTTTGACAAAAGGATTCAATTTCTACACATTTTAGAAAAGGTTTAAAAAGGTTAACAAAAAGACGGTACAAAAACCGAAAATACCGTAGTACACCGTTTCAGCCCTTATCATGGCGGGGGATACCAGAAATGGGCTTTACACATTGTACCCATGTGGGGAACTGAACCCGGGTCTTCGACATGACTAGGGAATGCTTTAACCACTAGGCTACCCACAGCCCCAATACTGACAAGAACATCCCACTGTGTAGAACCACCTACCACTTGCACTGTGCCCTTCTTCGGAATGTGATATCCTCTCTTTCCCAGGCTCTCCAGGTTCATGTGACCCTGAAACATCATCATCATCATCATCATCATCATCATCATCATCGACAGCCTCTCTTCATGGAGGATGGCAGTCTCAATGTGACTCTAGCTTTTTTACAACTGTGTCATCATCATCATTATCATCATCATCATCATCGACAACATCCCTACATGGAGGATGGCAGTCACAAAGAGACTCAAGCTAGTTGACAACCGTGTCATCATCATCATTATCATCATCATCATCGACAACATCCCTATATCAAGGATGGCTGTGACTAAGAGACTCAAGCTAGGTGACAACTGTTTCATCATCACATGGTTGTCAATGATGATGATGACAACCGTGTCATCCTCCTCCTCCCCATCATCATCATCATCATCAACATCGACAATCTCCCTATATGGACCCGAGTTGTCAGGGCTGAATAAATGTCACGATCACCTAGTTATCATCATTGTCAGGGCTTCAGGTCCAGACTTGATCAAATACACCTGAATTATTGCTCTGTATGGCGTCATAGAGCAAACAATTCTTTTCAGTATTCAGACCTCACTACAATAGTGAGTGAGTGAGTTTAGTTCAACGCCACCCTAATCAATATTCCAGCTATATGACGGGCCGTCTGTAAATAATCGAGTCTGAACCAGACAGTCCAGTGATCAACAGCATGAGCATCAATCTGCACAATTGGGAACCGATGTGTCAACCAAGTCAGCAAGCCTGACCACCCGATCCCGTTAGTCGCCTCTTACGACAAGCATGGGTTACTCACGATCAATTCTAACCCGGATCTTCACGGGTACTCACTACAATAACAACATAGGAAGACTCACCAGGTAGGGAGACGGTGCATTATCATCCGACAGTTTGAAGAAGTAGGATGTTACTGGCAGTATCACATGCTTCGGACAGAAGGATCCGCTGGCTCCAATCTCCGCAGTGAATCCATCCACTACCCCGATAGGTTCAATACGTCCGTTCAGCACCGACTCCTGAAACACAACATATACTCATATCGTCCTCCATTACATGGCCATGTTTTGGTCTTTTACAGATTGTAACAAGTCATCATGATGTTAAGGAACTGTCAGCTTGATAACTTTAAAAATCAATAGCTGACAGTGATACCATGCTTCGCTGTTTTGTTCTGTTGCTTGTTGTCAAACAATATTCAAGCTATATACCAGATAATCCAATGATCAACAGTAGGAGCATCGATCCAAGGCATCCATGGTTCCAATCCTAGCACGGAAGTTGGAAATTTTACGACAACTTGTTATGAGAGTGTGTTTTTTTGTAATTTGTAATATCACATTGATTATAACAAGTGATAATTATTGTGGGTCACAATGTTTAAAGTTTTGAGTGTGGGTTTTGGCTTGCATCTCACACCATGTATGTTCAAATGGCAATAGTATTTGTAGCGGCACGCCTTTTTGATAGCGCTTCAGAAATGCCTCCCTTGACTGGCTATATTTTGTTTTGACTTCCGGTCTTGTCACGTGTTTTCCACGTGGTTCCATGGCGTTCTGAGAGAATAATGATGGAGCCTAGCTTTGCAAGAATGCTCGAGAACTGTGTAAGAGCTTTATAAAGGCTGGTTGTTGAGTAGTGCGACACAGGACTTATTACATGACTGGAGTTATACACATATGTCTGCCACCGTCAAGGTGATCAACATTTCAAGACCGACCGTGCTTGTCTATTCAACTGATGTCATTGTAAACAACCTTCAATCAGTATATCTGCTCTCACTGTAAATTTCAAGACTCTGGTGAGTTAATCTTTTATATTTGTGACCCAGTATTTTAGATTTGTGACTCCATTGCACTGTACTAGAAATCTGTATTGTCATTCATTGTAGCTTGTCATTGTTTGTTCAATATATTATTGAATATTTTAGACTTGTCTGTGTTCTATTTTGCTGGTTCAAAGGGGACTCGTAAACCTTTTGTCACGGCAAATTATTGACCATAAAACACAACATAAACATAAAAGCAATAACTTCCACCAGTCAACCAGCTGAACACCTGGCAACTAAGGAAGAGAGCTTCAGACTATGAAGGGTATCTGGTGTTAGGTCTATGTAACTATGACAAACCTCGAAGTTGCCGAGCAGACAGTTGGTGGAAGCCGGTGCACTTGTACTGAGCACCCTGCCCATGTTGTCCGTCTGCTGCTCCGTGTCGTCTGCCGCGGGCCCCAGCACTAGCTTAGAGCAGGAGATAGCACTGGAAGGAGGTGACATACAGATTACTGCTAGGACGTTTCACCAGTAGCCCAGAGTATTGCAATAGTAGTCCACACTACTGTAATAGTAGCCCACACTATCGTAATAGTACAGATCTAGTAGCCCACACTACTGTAATAGTAAGTGAGTTAAGTCTTACGCCGCTTTTAGCAATATTCCAGCAATATCACGGCAGGGGACACCAGAAATGGGCTTCACACATTGTACCCATGTGGGGAATCAAACCCGGGCCTTCGACGTGACGAGTGAACGCATAACCACTAGGCTACCCCACCGCCCACTACTGTAATAGTACCAGTACCAGAGTACCATTGCAAAAGTATTCATTAAGTAGCAAAACAAATTCAAGGGTTGATAATCATGTTAATCATATTAATCAATATTAATTAATGCAGTCTCGTTGACAAAACTGGCCATTTTCCTCCCTGTTGCTACTCAACACAAAGGGAGGTAACTCTAATCAGAAGTAGTCACAATCATTTCTGACCAACACAGACAAGTTGTTTCTTATTACATGCATCTACTGAAACTAACTATTGTTATGAACACTATCGCCATTATAAAATTCTCAACAATGTAGCACAATTCTACGCCAAACAGTTTAGTTGGTTCATTATGTCGGTACATTCATAATCTCTACACGAGTCCCTGATAGAGCAGGTGACTAATCTCTACACAAGGCTCTGATAGAGCAGGTGACTAATCTCTACACAAGGCCCTGATAGAGCAGGTGACTAATCTCTACACAAGTCCCTGATAGAGCAGGTGACTAATCTCTACACAAGTCCCTGATAGAGCAGGTGACTAATCTCTACACAAGTCCCTGATAGAGCAGGTGACTGGGATTGGAACGAAGGATCGGAGGTCCCTGAAGGATGCAACTTCCTTTTATAACACAAGTTCCAATTCTATTGTGATCACTGCAAGATAAAAGTGACAATACACAGCTTCACATATAACACTGCAGTTGTCACAACTTACTTCTTGATGGCCCTGGTGCTGGTTAAGGAGCTGTCGTAGTCGAATCTGCCCAGCGACTTCCTCTTGATGGGAGCCTGAAGCAGACAGAATACAGAGAGTCACATCTGCTGCAGACAGAATACAGAGAGTCACATCTGCTGCAGACAGAATACAGAGTCACATCAGCTGATGCAAAGATACAGTCTAGTCCGGAGACTAGGACTAAACCTTTTGTGTGAAGACACTCGTTAGGCTGTGTGGGGAACACTCACCGGAATAGACTGAGCGGGAAAGCACTAGACCATAGTAAGAAACTCACCGGACAAGACTGAGTGGGAAGGCACTAGACCATACTAAGAAACTCACCAAACTAGACTGTGTTGGAAAGAACTAGACTAGACTGTGGGAATAAACTCATCAAACTAGACTTTAGGGAGAAACTCACCGGACTAGAGTGTGGGAAGAAACTCACCGGACTAGACTGTAGGGAGAAACTCAACAGACTAGACTGTGGGAAGAAACTCACCGGACTAGACTGTGGGAAGAAACTCACCAGACTAGACTGTAGGGAGAAACTCAACAGACTAGACTGTGGGAAGAAACTCACCAGACTAGACTGTGGGAAGAAACTCACCAGACTAGAGTGTGGGAAGAAACTCACCGGACTAGACTTTAGGGAGAAACTCACCGGACTAGACTGTGGGAAGAAACTCATCGGACTAGAGTGTGGGAAGAAACTCACCGGACTAGACTGTGGGGAGAAACTCACCAGACTAGAGTGTGGGAAGAAACTCACCGGACTAGACTGTGGGAAGAAACTCACCGGACTAGACTGTGGGAAGAAACTCACCGGACTAGACTGTGGGAATAAACTCACCGGACTAGACTGTGGGAAGAAACTCACCAGACTAGAGTGTGGGAAGAAACTCACCGGACTAGAGTGTGGGAAGAAACTCACCAGACTAGAGTGTGGGAAGAAACTCACTGGACTAGACTGTAGGGAGAAACTCACCGGACTAGACTGTGGGAAGAAACTCACCGGACTAGAGTGTGGGAAGAAACTCACCAGACTAGACTGTGGGAAGAAACTCACCGGACTAGACTGTGGGGAGAAACTCACCAGACTAGAGTGTGGGAAGAAACTCACCGGACTAGACTGTGGGGAGAAACTCACCAGAGACTAGAAACTCACCGGACTAGACTGTGTTGGAAGGCCTGTGCGACTGCTAAACATCATGGAGGCACTTTTGGTCATGTGACGTTGGAAGCTCATAGCATCCTCCAAGGTGGGCGTAGTCGGGATCTTCCTCAGTTGGGATAGTCTCTGATAAACATGCCAATAAAACAGTTCACAAGAATCACATGTACATGTTCTACCACCGAGGGTCAATATAAAGTAAGCCCAGATCAAAATGTACCATACTGATGTACAATATTCCAGTTGAGGAAACCGGTCCAGGCTTCACACAAGGGACCCATGTTGGGAGGGTCCAAGTTGGATCTTCTTTGTGACAAGATAACACTTTAACCACTGGACCATCAATCTCAGCAGACCCGTGAAGATCTGGGTTAGAATTGGTCTTCAGTAACCCGTGCTTGTCGTAAGAGACGACTAAAGGGATAGGGGGTCAGGCTCACTGACTTGGTGGACACATGTCATCGTATCCCAATTGTGTAGATAGATTCTCATGCTGTTGATGACTGGATTGTCTTGTCCAGACCTGATTATTTACAGACCGCCGCCATGTAGCTAGAATATCGCTGAGAGCAGCATAAAACTAATACTCACTCACTCACTCACTATTAAAAAACATCAATTCAAAATTGTGATGTACTTGGAACAAAACCCATGCCTGGCATATATGACAATGGCGACTTACCTTACTAATAGGTATATCACAGTTATTGCATAGCGAGTGTTCCGATTGGCTGACACTGACTGCAGCTCCCTCTGGTGGCGTCACAGAGGGGGAAAACACATTATGAGAATCACACGTTGAAGTAGCACTGTGTCCATTGGACACTACCAGGTCATGTGACACCACACCAGAATCATCCAAATTTGAATATTTCCGATGATTACTTGTCACAGACTCCTCCTGGTATTTCCTCTTGAAGGATTTCGCCGGAGAATCTTGTGGCACTGTTTTCCCATCAATGTCTTTCACCGTCTTGCCACTGTCAACAACCTCTGCTTTTTTAACACAGGGTACATCCTTCTTCTCTTTCTTCGTAGGTGGAGATTCGGAGGTGATAAAGGGAGACAACCCTTGCAACCTCTTTGTAACATTATCGAGATCATCTGTTTGAGCCTTCCATCGTCTTGAAGTTGAATCTGGCTCAATATTGCTCAACTCAGTTCGGGAAAGACTAGAGTTAAATAGCGGTTGTGGAACTTTCGGGTAACCTGATTTCAAAGTCCTGTCCTCTGACTGGTAGCCATTGTCAACAGATTTGCCTTCAGAGCCGAGGTAGAACTTACACTTTGGTGTGACACACATATCGTAACCAACACATTCTTGAGTCTGTGGCCGGGTATATGCGACCGACTGGAGACTGGCTAGATAGGACTGGATATCTGCTGGGGATAGTGGACTGGCCAGGTCTTTGATTTTGGTGGACATGAACTGGTTGTTCCATTCCGTTGAGTCGCCGGATGAGGATGAGCCACTGAGGTCGAGACACTTCTTCTTGGTGTAGACCTCCTCGGGTCTTGTGTTGGAGGTCATGAGAACTTTCGGGCTGTGCAGACAGTTGGAACTCGCTGGGGTTGTGTCCACTTTCAGATGCGAGTCGCTGTACGTGTCGGGCTTCAACGGAAGCAACTTGTCTTTAAATATTTGTCTAGAAGGGGATTCAATTCGGAATTTCTGGGGATAGGATTCTCTGAAATCGGACTGCTCTGGTGGAATTCCGTGTGATTTTGAGTCCGAATGGTATGATTTAATATCTGTTAAATGTCTAGGTGTAACTGTGGTGAAAGTGCTGGGTTGGCGGTATTCGTGGAAACTTTGTCTCTCTGCGTGGGTGTCCCATTGATAGTTCCGGGTATCACAGGATGTGGAAGACGAGATACCTGAGATCATCGGACTTTGGATCATTGGGAAGTTGGAATTGGTGGATTTATCAAGGTCACTTTGGTTGCCTTGGTAACGTCTGTGTTCACGTCTTCGTGACATTTCACTCTGATGATGTCGCGTACGTTTCAGCGTGCGTCCTCTCTCACTGTGCTTGTCGTCAGTCGGTGGGTTTTTCCGTGAACATTTTCCTCCATCACTGATGACCTTCATCGTTGACTTCGGTGACGAGGTTGTGGATGACGAGGTTGTTTGTCCTTCTACAGGGAGTCGACACTGCAGGCGTACCTGATCCCGACGAGGGATGGCTGACACCTGAACTTTGACCTCATAATGCTCAAGGTCAACCTGGGGAAAACTGTGCTTGTCAGGATTCTCGGTAAACTCATGTCCAATGCTCTCGCCGGGTGCATAAGACCTGAACAGAAGAAACAGTGGTAAGCATGGACACATACTGCTACATTATACACTGACCACCATGCTCTCTTCCTGTTCAATGAAGGGGGCGGTGGGGTAGCCTAGTGCAGGGCTCCAGATAATTTTTCATGATCAGGAGTACGTACTCCTTATTTTTTCAATATAGGAGTACTGGAAAACCTTAAAAGCACATTTAGAGTACTGGGCCTAGATTTTCGAAGCTCTCTTAGCGCTAAGATAGTCGTAAGTGTCACACGTTAACATTAACTTACGACTATCTTAGCGCTAAGAGAGCTTCGAAAATCTAGGCCCTGAATGGAATTTAATGGAGTATCAGTAATCTTGTGTTTCGTTTCATATACTCAACATTGCTACTCTTGTGTAAACAGGAAAATAAACAATAAAACAATACTTTTTCAGATAAATACGTCTGTAAGTGATTCTAAGACCGTACACCATTGCTGTGGTGCGTATCTGCTACGTTTTCTCAATTATTTCCTACCGTATCATGTATATTTTTAATCCGTACATACGCCGATACGGCCCTTATCTGGAGCCCTGCTAGTGGTTAAAGTATTCGCTCGTCACACGGAAGACCCGGTTTTGATTCTCCACATGGGTACAATGAAGTCCATTTTCTGGTGTCCCCGGCAACGATATTGCTGGAATATTGCTAAAAGCAGCATACAACTAAACTCACTCCTCTTCAACAGGTTTCTCTGGTCACCAATTTCATCAATATTCGAGGAATAATAAGGCCACTTAAATGGGGCTGAACTCGACCACAACACAATGGACTTTATTTCCCTGGTTAGACCAAGCTGACTGTGAGGCACTAGAAGGATAACAGTCATATGACATATCCCACCGGGTACCCACTCACTGCTTGGTGAACAGAGGCAATTTTGAAAAAACTAAGGTGAGACAACATGTGTCAGGCGTGCTTCGTTGTGGGGCAGGACTGAAATCCTAGAAACTCTCAGGAGTCAAGCAAGATCACCAATCCAAGGACTCTCTGGGAACAACATTGCTCCACTTCAACTGATTTATGACTTGGGCTCCAAGCACAAGACCACACACCCACACAAATATATCATGGAGGCATGGGATTCATGGGAATAGAACCTTAGTCACTATGGGCGAACACTGTAACCACTAGCCCCCTGCCCCAAAGTAAAGTACTGTAAACGTATTATATTTCGCGCAGGTTTTATTTTCGCGCTTATCGCGCAAAACATTTTAGCGCGAAAATATATACACCGCGAATAAACCGGTCATTCATTCAGTCTAGCCACGCTCGCCCCTGAGTTGTTACCATAACACATCAAGTTTGAAGACAGAAAGCTACGGGAATCTTAAAATGACGACTGATAGTAGCAAAAAGAATCATACTTAACTGTCGCTGTAATCGATTTCCCAAAACATAATTAAATAATGAGCCAAATCCCATCGACGAATTAGCGAAAACAGCAATGTGTGTTGTGGCCGCCATGGAAATTGGTCACATGACAGATGGTTTGATACAAAACAGTTTACCATGAAACGACTCGGAAAGAAATAATACAGCTGTATTTTATTTATTCATTAAGTTACATACCAGTACATCATGAAGCGAATAGTCACTTAACACTCATTCACAACAACCCGGCTTGTTTGAAATCACAAAGAGCTTCATATAGAGTAGAAGTTAATTCGTCAGATCGTCAGAATTCGGAACATAAGACTGATGTGTTTTTCATCTCTTCCGTGAGTAAACGGATTACTGTGTACTAATATATCGCACAGATAGGGATCTCCTGTGAGTAAGCAATAAACGCCGCCTGACAGGTTAAGCCACTCTGTTTGTTTTCACTGCTATTAGTGGCGGCCAAAGAGACAACTGGCAGTTCCGGCAATTACTGATTGCGCGAATAATTGACTGCGCGATGTAGTCTAAACTGTCAATTCCGCGAAAATTGCACCACGCGAAAATAAGTACGTTTACAGTAGTTTCCTTGATTACCTCATTAGGTAAATTGACATCTCAAATACAATGGTAGTTTCTAGGGGTGTCACAATACACCAATTTCACGATACGATACGTATCACGATTTTAAGGTCACGATACGATACGTATCGCGATACATAATTTTCGCACCTTTTCATAGCATTACCTTACCGGCAACGTACGCGCTCGCTGATTGGTCCATCAAAATAGTCTAGCCAATCACAAAAGCTGTTAGTTTCCAACCTATTTTTTAAGTAAAGCTAGCTACATCTATTTATCGGAACGGTCTCGTATAATTTTACTATCAAGACTTTGACGGAGATGGATATAGCATAAAAATTTGAATCGATAAAGTTTTAAAATAGGAATCGATACACGCAAGCATGTATCGCATATCGTATCGTCAGTAAAAATGTATCGATGCATCCCTGGTAGTTTCTAAGATCCTGGCAGTAGTTGTCATGGTTACCTGTAGACAATGGTGAGGGGTAGTTTCCCCTCTGAAGACAACAGCCAGGAGCTGAGCTGAGAGAAGTGAAGATAAGACTTGACAGCCTGCAGCAACATGGACGGCCCTACGCTGCGCCCGTTCACCATGTCCATATGTCTACAAAACACGGATCAGTCATTAGATGAGACAACATTATAACAGGACAGACAACATTGTAATAGTGAAACAACATCGTAACAGATGGGGCAAGATAGCAACAGATGAGACATTGTAACAGATGAGACAATATTGTAACGGGTATCCACCCTTGAACCAGGGTACCACATTCAGTCTACCCTTAAACCAGGGTACCACATTCAGTCTACCCTTAAGCCAGGGTACCACATTAAGTCTACCCTTAAACCAGGGTACCACATTCAGTACCCCCTTAAACCAGTGTACCTCATTCAGTCTACCCTTAAACCAGGGTACCACATTCAGTATATCCTTGAATCAAGGCACCCCACCAACATTCAGTCCACCCTTGAATCAGGGCACCAAAACTCACCTCTTTTTGCAGAACTGGAACGTCCACCTCTCCAGCAGCAGATAGTCATCCATGGCCTGACCCATCTGGTCGGCCACCTCCAGCACCTGTGCCTCCCTGTGGCCGTGCACACAGTCCGGGTAGAGAAGGATGTCAATGCACGCTGGGATGTTGTTCCTCCAGAGGAGATCCAACTGTTCCTCAAGCTCAACAGCACGCCGGCACTGCAACACGTAACAGTGTTCAGCATCAACTTACGGCCCCTATACAACCATTAGTACACAGCTGGGCCTAGATTTTCGAAGCTCTCTTAGCGCTAAGATAGTCGTAAGTGCCAAACATTAACATTAACTTACGACTATCTTAAAGAGAGCTTCGAAAATCTAAGCCCAGGAAGGACTGGAAAGACTTTACATGACTCTTTTTGCCCTGAGTTCAATCAAACATATATTCTTGAGGTGAGGCTAATGGTTTGGGGCTAGGCAGGGTTTGAGGGTAGGATTTTCGGGCTGGGGGCTGTTGCTTTGGTTGGGCAGGATTTTCGTGCTGGGGGCTCTTGCCATGGGTGGGTAGGATTTTCGTGGCTGGGAGCTCTTGCTTGGGATGGGAGGCTTGGGTTGGGGGGGAGGGGATGGGTCTGGGTCTGGGAATTGGTTAAAATCTCATAATTGATGATTGGTTCATTACAAACGATAAATCATCAAAAATAATTCGTTAGCGTCATTTATCAAATTTTCCTGGTTATGTAAAATAAAGAAAAAGCATGTAGTTCTTTCGAGTGTTTTGCAAACTGCACAAAATGCATTTGCAAATTATACATCTTTAAAGCATGACTAGGACGTAAGAAGCATAAACTTCCTGGAGACTTTATGATAAATTCAATCCTGACTTTTAACGAGCTTGTAGTGCTTATGAAATGCAACAGACAAAACCAACCTTGTGAAAAATATTGTTAAGGCAAACAAGAGTTCCAAAATTGTTTGTGTTCGATTATGAGAAAACATGATCGATTGCTTGGTCGTTTAGTCATTGCAACCAATCCTAGAGTGTTTCAATTAGTTGGACCACCATTAGCTGGGGCTGTTGCTTGGGTTGGGAGGCGGAAGACGGGGCTTGGATGTTATAGCATTTGAATCTAGGGACTCAAGCTTGAGTCTGTCTACACCAGACTGCAGTTGGCCTTCACTACCTGAGCCTGTATAGAGTTGACACCAGTTTGCTACCTTGACCCTGACCTACCTCAAACTTGCCATCAATATTGAGCTGACCTAAATGAGGGTGAGATTGAGTTTAGTATTACGCCGCTTTTAGGAATATTCCAGCAATATCACGGTAGGGAACACCAGAAATGGGCTTAATACACTGTACCAATGTGGGGAATCAAACCCGGGTCTTCGGAGTGGCAAGCAAACACTTGAACCCACCGCCCTTAACCTTAATGATGTCACGTGACCCTGACTAGATCTACCACACAAGACCCTGACTAGATCTACCACACAAGACCCTGACTAGACCTACCACACAAGACCCTGACTAGATCTACCACACAAGACCCTGACTAGATCTATCACACAAGACCCTGACTAAATCTACCACACAAGACCCTGACTAGATCTACCACACAAGACCCTGACTAGATCTACCACACAAGACCCTGACTAGATCAACCACACAAGACCCTGACTAGATCTACCACACAAGACCCTGACTAGATCTACCACACAAGACCCTGACAAGATCTACCACACAAGACCCAGACTAGATCTACCACACAAGACCCTGACTAAATCTACCACACAAGACCCTGACTAGATCTACCACACAAGACCCTGACTAGATCTACCACACAAGACCCTGACTAGATCTACCACACAAGACCCTGACTAGATCTACCACACAAGACCCTGACTAGATCTACCACACAAGACTCTGACTAGACCTACCACACAAGACCCTGACCCTGACTAGATCTACCACACAAGACCCTGACTAGATCTACCACACAAGACCCTGACTAGACCTACCACACAAGACCCTGACTAGATCTACCACACAAGACCCAGACTAGATCTACCACACATGACCCTGACTAGATCTACCACACAAGACCCTGACTAGATCTACCACACAAGACCCTGACTAGATCTACCACACAAGACCCTGACTAGATCTACCACACAAGACCCTGACTAGATCTACCACACAAGACCCTGACTAGATCTACCACACAAGACCCAGACTAGATCTACCACACAAGACCCTGACTAGATCTACCACACAAGACCCAGACTAGATCTACCACACATGACTCTGACTAGATCTACCACACAAGACCCTGACTAGATCTACCACACATGACCCTGACTAGATCTATCACACAAGACCCAGACCTACCTCTGACTGGTCATCACTACACGCGTGAGCCTGACCTCGTCTAGATCTACCACACAAGACCCTGACTAGATCTACCACACAAGACCCAGACTAGATCTACCACACATGACCCTGACTAGATCTACCACACAAGACCCTGACTAGATCTACCACACATGACCCTGACTAGATCTATCACACAAGACCCAGACCTACCTCTAACTGGTCATCACTACATGCGTGAGCCTGACCTCGTCTGGACAACGGGCAGTGGGGGCCCTCTACTCTGCCCTTGGCGGACGGGTCCGGCGTCCGAGCCTCCAGCACCATGAGCCCCAGCTCCAACAACAAATCCAACGGGTCCTTATCAGTCTCATCCATATCATCAGCATCAGTTGCTCCTGAAAAACACATGTCAAACAGTCAGTTTCTACCATATCATCAGCATCAGTAGCTCCTGAAAAACCCATGTCAAACAGTCAGTTTCTACCATATCATTAGAAAGTTGTATTTTTTTAAAAACAGATTTCTGACTGTCAGTCTTACCTATTAGTGTTGGGAATTGGTTGAAATCTCACAATTGATGATTGGTCCAATACCAACAAGCAATCATCAAAAAAAATTGGTTAGCATCATTTTTAGATTTTCCTCTTCAGGTTGTTATTGCAGATAAGTATTAAGAAAAAACATTTGGTTCTCTGTTGTTTTTTTGTTTTATTTAGAAACTGCACAAATTGTATTTGCAAATTTCACATCCAATGTGAAATGATGCAACTTGCTACTTTGAAGTGATGACTAATATATCATGAACATAACCTTCCCAGCGTCTTCAAGAAATATTCAGTCTTGACTTTTCAGAAAGTGAAGTGAGTTTTCTAGGAATTAAACACGTGTTCCGGCCCAGAGAATGTCCTAGATATGTTCCATCCTCAAGTATTTCAAACTCTATTACAGTGGTTCCAAAATTGTTGTGCTCGATTATGACAAAATGTGATCCATTGCGACCAGTCTTTGATTATTTCAATTAATCGGAACACCACTATTACCTATATTATTTTAATCAGTTATTTCACCCAGCAGTAAATTAGGTACCTGGTGCGATACGATGGTAATCTGAATTTGAACCTTGGGCGCCTGACAGGCGACAGGTTGTATTCTCCAAAGGGAGTCAGGGTTTTACATAGCTCTTTGAAACTGGGAGTCCTGGGGACTGAGTCCCCAGGACTCCCAGCATATGTATTCTGAGAGTCCATTTCCAAAATTTGGGAGTCCATCAATACAGTGACGTCGTGATACAATACGTATCAAGATACTATCGATACATCCTGATAAAATATATATAGTTTATAAGTTCATATTCTTTCTTTGTGAATCAAAACCCTGAAAAATTTCCTTTTTAATGTCAGGCATCATACCACCCTCCCACCCACCCACTCATCAAAACAAGGCTGACCCGTGAAGATCCGGGTTAGAATTGGTCTTCCAAAGCTTGGTTTAGTGCTTTGCTACTTGCGCCAGTGCAACCCAATATTCCAAGGTGCAACCCAATATTACAATGTGCAACCCAATATTACAAGGTGCAACCCAATATTTCAAGCTGCAACCCAATATTACAAGGTGCAACCTAGGTATTACTAACTTGCACCAAGTCAATTTTTAAGTGTGTTAACTTAAAAACATAAATAACTTAATAAAACATCTAAATAATTCAAAAGCATATTTCTCACATTACATATTGCAATAAAAGCAATGCACCTGGAATTTGGTTTGTGCAACTAGGTTAGTAATCTTAGGTTGCACCAGGTGCAATTAGGTTAACATCTCTTAAATCAAGACCTGTCTTCAGTAGCCAATGCTTGTTGTAAGACTGACTGACTGACTGAGTTTGGTTTTATGCCGCTTTCAGCAATATTCCAGCAACATCACGGCGGGGGACACACATTGTACCCATGTGGGGACTTGTCGTAAGAGGCAACTACCATGATCGGGTGGTCAGGCTCGCTGGCTTAGTTGACACAAACTATAGTTGCAGTATCATTCAACATGTTCAACATTGTGGATGACAAGATGTAGGTGTGATAAATACATGAATTGAAATGTCTCGTACATATTTAAAAAGTCCAGATCAATACTTCATTGTTCTTAAGCACCCAGCCATGATGTCTAAGTAGAAAAGAAAAATTAAACTACTTCAGTGACATTTGGAGCTGTTTTAAAAAGAAATATATACTGATTCAGGTCAACAATACAATGAATAAAAAATGTATTCACAGCAGAATGTGCCACACTCGACAAACACCCCCTGACAAACTGAACGCAATCTTTATAAGCACCACGTTTCTGCTGAGTGAGTGAGTGAGTATGGTTTTACACCACTTTTAGCAATATTCAAGCAACATCAGGATGAGAGACACCAGAAATGGGCTTCACACAATGTACCCATGTGGGGAATCGGGCCTTCGGCATGACAAGTGACTGTTTTAGCCACTAGGCTACCCCACCTCCCCTGTTTATGATGAAAATGTTTTCATATTTTCTTGTGTATAGTTTTGCCTATTATAGAGTTTTTTACTGTGAAACTGCAACAGAAAAGAGTATGTTTGGTTTGTTGTTTAACAACACAAAACAACAGTATTCCAGCTGTATGACAGCAGTCTCTATGTGATCAACTCTGAACCAGACAACCCTGTGATTGATATCATGAGCATCATTCTATGCAACTGCTACAGCTACCCTGACAATATATTTTAACATCCATTTCAACATGTATTTCAGCATATTTCAACATCCATGTCAGCAAGTATTTAAGCATCCATTTCAACAAGTATTTCAGCATCCATTTCAACAAGTATTTCAGCATCCATTTCAACAAGTATTTCAGCATCCATTTCAACAAGTATTTCAGCATCCATTTCAACAAATTTCAACATCCAATTCAACATATTTCAACATCCAATTCAACATGTATTTCAGCATATTTCAACATCCATGTCACCAAGTATTTCAGCATCCATTTCAACAAGTATTTCAACATCCATTTCAACAAGTATTTCAACATCCATGTCAGCAAGTATTTCAGCATCCATTTCAACAAGTATTTCAGCATCCATTTCAACAAGTATTTCAGCATCCATTTCAACAAGTATTTCTGCATCCATTTCAACAAGTATTTCAGCATCCATTTCAACAAGTATTTCAGCATCCATTTCAACAAGTATTTCTGCATCCATTTCAACAAGTATTTCAACATCCATGTCAGCAAGTATTTCAGCATCCATTTCAACAAGTATTTCTGCATCCATTTCAACAAGAATTTTTTTTCTGCATCCATTTCAACAAGTATTTCTGCATCCATTTCAACAAGTATTTCAGCATCCATTTCAACATATTTCAACATCCAATTCAACATGTATTTCAGCATATTTCAACATCCATGTCAGCAAGTATTTCAGCATCCATTTCAACAAGTATTTCTGCATCCATTTCAACAAGTACTTCAGCATCCATTTCAACAAGTATTTCTGCATCCATTTCAACAAGTATTTCAGCATCCATTTCATCAAGTATTTCTGCATCCATTTCAACAAGTATTTCAGCATCCATTTCAACATATTTCAACATCCAATTCAACATATTTCAACATCCAATTCAACATATTTCAACATCCATTCCAACATATTTCAACATCCAATTCAACATATTTCAACATCCATTTCAACATATTTCAACATCCAATTCAACATATTTCAACATCCATCCAACAAGTATTTCAACATATTTCAACAAGTATTTCAACATGTATTTCTGCAGGTAAAACTAATGAAACTATGCCATTATTCAAAATAATAGAAAGTTCCAAATCAAACATGCTATAAATCTTTGAAATCACTGGACACCATTATTCTACCCACAGAATCAATCGATTCTCATGACTTCTACATTACAGAACCTATACTCCACATTTAGTAGGTATATTTAGACATCTGAATCAGAACTTCCTGCTCAGAATGAAACACATACATTGTGACTTCTATGTAGACTAACATTTAGTCTCTGAAATGAATATATTTAACAGAAAAACGTTTCATACATAATGATCATAAAATATAATAAACAGGAGCCCAGAGACTTTCTTCATTTCTCTGGTAAACTAGTCTTGCCACATATCATAGACTTGCATGGGATATTTTGGATATATTTGTTTCAGGTGAGAGGAAGTGGGGTTTAACGTCGTACTTAAGAATATTTTTCACTCATATAACGACGTACATGTGTGTGTATGTGGGGCTGCTTGTACTAGCCCAAACTGAAGCTGGTTTTATAGTGCTAGCTCACTGAGATGCCATGCCGCAGTGAAGCATGAATACCCCACCTAGACACAGTATACTGACTCCGAGCTGACCAGTCCTTGTTGTACCCATTAATGCCAAGTCCCAACAAGTACCATATTTTAACGTCTTTTGGTATGACGCAGCCGGAGATCGAACCTGTGACCTTCCATTCTCCTGGCGGACATTCTAACCACTACACCACGGAGGCGGCCTATATTTGTTTCAGGGTCAACAGACAGACAAACATCTATGACGAAGTTCAAGGTGTATTTCCACATGAATAATCTTAACAAGCTGTGCTGCAACGGTTGCAAGGCTGCGACCTTATAACCACACTGAGAGGCAGTACATGACAGAGACAGGTTGTCCCAGTTGACTACACTGAAAGGCAGTACGTGACAGAGATAGGTTATCCCAGTTTAACTGCAACAGGAAGGTGAACAGGTGCATTCTGGGTGCTGCTGTTGAGGTTCCTTAATGAAGACGTGTTTTTCATGTCTGACAGGGAAAGATAGCGAGCTCAGCATAGATACATTTCCGGTTGTAGTTCAGTTTTTTCGACAGTAGCACTTTGATTTTCAGTGGGTAGTGTATGGTGCCGACCCTACGGCCTGGTTAATTAATATTGATTTTTTTATTATATATGATTGTAATATATGTTGCTAAGCCTCTCTTGTATTGGCCTGTTAAATAATTTGATAGAATGTATTGAATTTCACAGGGCCTTCTTCAGTTATTTAGCCATTAAACTGACATCTATAAAGGTCTATTTGTCTTTGTGATATATACAAGACCACACCCTCTACACTTGGATGCAAGAGGAAGTTTGAGTGAGTGAGTGAGTGAGTGAGTGAGTGAGTGAGTGAGTGAGTGAGTGAGTGAGTGAGTGAGTGAGTGAGTGAGTGAGTGAGTGAGTGAGTGAGTGAGTGAGTGTATTCCAGCAATATCACGGTGGGGGACACCAGAAATGGGTTTCATATATTGTACCCATGTGGGGGAATCAAACCTGGATCTTCAGCGTACACTTTAACCACTAGGCTACCCCACCAGCCCATGGGAGGTTTGAAGGT